ACTAATTTCATCAATTCTTTAAAAGAAATGCTTTTCTTCAAACAAATATGTTTCAGGTTATTATCAATCAGGTACCCTGGGATGGCAAATTAGAAGATATTTGTCCTCAGAATGACCGGCCCAAACTCTCCAAAAGCATTTCAACCTGGCATTAATGAGAAGGGGGGAGGGGTTGATTCAATTCATGATATGAGGGTGAATAAGTTGGCATTAGAACTTTAAGAGACCCTTTATGAGGTTTTTAAAAAGAAGCTACTCTTTCAAAGTCTTCACTCCTGATTTCAACCAAATCAAACCTTGAAATAAACACTTAAAATATATATATATATATATATATATATATATATATATATATATATATATATATATATATATATATATATATATATATATAATGAACATTTCACCATTACACCGCATTAATACATTGTAACAGGGTGGATGGGTGGGTGGGAGGGAGGGGGTGGGGGAGGGGGTAGGTAGATAGGCAACTAACCTAAAATTAAAAAGATTATTCAATGCAACCTAAAGCAAAAGTCATATTAATTGAGCTATAAAAGTGCAACAAATTGGTGGCAAAATATTAATAAACCAACCAACACACCCAAAACTCAGACTCGATACCACGAGCAAGGGGCGTATCAAAAAGCACTGTTCCTAAGGTTTATAATCATATACTAAAATAGTGGGGTTGGGGTTAGTAGGGAATATCATCATAATTTTTATATAATTTTTTAAAAATGAATAATATTTTTTTTTACATTGTAATAATAATAATGACCTCCATCTTAAATGTGTCATTACTGAATATCCTGTAATTGTACAAGCCCATTAGAATCAAAACTTGGGAAATCTAAAGATAAATCAAATATACCAAACCTAGTTGTGATAGCCCCTCAAAACCATAAAAAATGGTATTTAAAACTCAGGATTAAAACTAAACTGTCAATCAAAGAATCCTTCAAAACTATCCTAGGATACTGTAAATGGTAGGACATCCTAGCAAACTAAGGAACTAATACCTTGCTACACTCTACAGCACATCTTCCACCAAATACTTGGAAATGTTGACGACCCACCTCACAGAGTTTCCTACATGATTGCTTAGTGTTAGAAAAATTTCCTCTAGATAGTGCAAGACTGAGTGCCATAAGTATAGTCAATACAAAACATATGAGGTGAGAGTGTCAACAACCATGGAGGTTGAACTTTGCTGCAGACTGCGAGTAAAATATTTATACCACTCTACACCCAGAGGACCTTATCTATAAAAAACACAATCCAGTGTTTCAGTTGAACTACATTTTGCAAGATGGACAATAGGCATTTAATCATATAGCGCAGAGCACGTGGAAAATTGAAAATGGTCACAGGTCACCTTTAGGAGTGAGAGACCAAGAGACTGGTCTACGTTGCCAAAGCAGCACTCAGATAACATGGTTTTTAAGACCCAGTATTGCTACAAAAAGTTTGTAAAGAATTTATTCTGGCTCTGTATCCCTTTATCAATTCGGTATGGTTATCATATTGCAACTTTTTGATGTGGTCTAAAGCACTCTGTGGCAACGATGACTGCAGACCCTTAACATCTAGCAAAGTCACTGGAAAAAGTGAAATTCTTAAGTCGTAAAAAGTTAATGGTTCCTAACTACCACAATTCAGGAAATCTAGTATGGAGAGGGGGAGGAAATCTTAATGGTCTTGAAGCATGACAATGAAACATGTTAATTGTATGCCTACTGAATACTAACGAAGAATGTTGAGAAACATTTAGCATTTAGGATACTTGTGTTATCTATAATCATGAAACACACATTACAATATCTTACAAAGTCTTTACATACCCTAACTGACCCAAAATATTACATTCATAATTATATTTACATTCTCAAGAAAAATAGATACGTACACATATAATCTTGTTTTTGTGTACTACATCCGTGTACTACAGCAATGTACTACATCAGTGTACTACAACAGTGTACTGCAATCAACTCTTATAGTGTTTTGTGAGGGTTATGACTAACGTTGGGCAACAGTTTCACGTTACTCGTTATACTGCGGCCAGACGATCACCTGACTGGTGGAAAGTGACTCCGTGCAGCAAATCAAAAATATTCTTTACTATGTGGACAGAGACTGATGCATGGCCATGAATCAATTTATGACACTTTTTCTTTTGTATTCCAGGATAAGTAGATACAAAGGTCAAAAAAGCTACTGTGCAGAGCCATTACCCAGCAATCATTATTGGCCATCCGTCACATCTTCTAAAATACTAGAGCTTAGGCACTCTAAATACAAACATCACATGTGTAGGGCTGTTATGTAGGTGCCGATAACTGAGCACCGGAACTACTAATAACCTAAACTGGACCAAATTGATGAGTTGTGTACAATATCCCAACAGTCACATCTTCCCTCCTGATAGGCCAACTCCTGATAATGGTGAGTGGTCCACATGGTGCATGAAGGGGTCTCTAGACAACCTGGAAGCTGACTGCGCAACAGCCAATGGCTTCATATGACTACTTTTACGTAAGGGGGAAACTCACTCTGTGTCTGGATAAACTTTGGTTGAATTCCAAGAAAATTTACATCTGAAAAAGGACAAGGCTATTCGTCATGCTGTTCAGTCACTTCAATCAAACTGCAACAAATATGATTCGGCTACTTTATCGACAATTTCTAATCTTCTGGTCACATTAAAGATGCTTGTCAATAATCTGGTCACATTAAAGATGCTTGTCAATACGTCTTTTGTCAATAAAAAATAAATTAATAACTAAAATTGAATACAATTTAAGAACTTCAAATCCATACCATGTACTACACAGAGCTTGAGACGGATATCAATTACTTTCAAAACTCTGCAGTTCAGCTTGACGAACAGTTGGTCCATTGAAACGTGTCAAAGACCCTATACACACACCAAAGCTTGGCACCTTCAAGAAGACCTTGGGAATTGTTGCCCCACACACAAAGGTCTGGGTCGAGGTCTGTGGTGAACTGTATCTAATCACAATGTTGAGATCAGAAACTGAACAGAACCACGACCCTATACATGTTAGGGCCTAATGAAAACACAGGCACGGCCCCCCTCCCACTGTAAAATTCACAGTCATCACCTGCTACACAACACTGTCCCTTATATATTAGTTCTTTATGACAAATTCACCCAATTCAGATACTAAAAATATAAGCTTTCACATACACATCAAAGCTTGATCTTAGAAGTAAATGTTAACCTTAAAAAATTAAATATTATACAATGCTTAAGATCAAAGGTAATCAATTAAAGAAACATTAAAAATTCTCCAAAGAAACATTAAAATAAAATTCCCAATAACAGTTAGCAGTGAATAGTGAACCTCAAAAGAGGTGGAGTGTGGGAGGGGGGTTGGGGGAATGGCAGTAAGCCTGAACGTGCTATTTGCTTCTCCCGGGTGTATAGACCTTGGTCAAGAAACAAGCACAAAAACCATGCAGAGGATTCTCCGAGATATAAAGAGAAGGTATCACACTCCAGACATAAATAACACCTTTACACATAGGGAAGAAGTTCAAGAAAGCGTATATGTTAATAGAGATCAAACAAACCTGTGGACAAACACCAAACGTGGTGCAGCCGGTGGGCATCACACCACATCCAGCAATTCTACTTGGCTCTCAGCTTCCCACACTTATGGAAGGGAAGGGGAGTGCTGTTGAAATGCCAACTATGGCGCATTTTCCCTCGGCCTCATCGGCTATAAACACAATACTACTCATGCTACACATTAAGTCTACGTACAGACCATTGTCAAAACCCTTTCCCCTTAAAAAATTATCAAACATATTCAATTTATGCTTGGTAAAACACAAAATAAATATACACAACGTCAAGCATGGCTCACTGAAAAACCTTGGCTTTCTGTGAACCAGTTCCCAGTCACTTAGTAGCCAATAGGATTATTAGCCGAGCTCCACAGATGATGGCTCATCACTTTAGCTTCAACAAAAAACTCACACTTGATAACGATATCAAGTCCAACACAAAACGAACTATAACTTCTTTGGGTGACTGAAAAGTTTAGAAATGTAGCTGATAAATTATTTCCTTTTATGCAATACAGGATGTGCTCCAAAGAAGCTAACACAAACACTCCATATCCATTCTTCATTACCAGTGTAGTGTTCACCCACTGGCTGTTGCTCATGTTTCACACAAAATGATAAAAATAAAAACTAGCTACAGTCTTCTCATTTGTCAACAATATGCCGACAGTATTTCCGCCCTTAGGACGGCCAACGCACAGTTATAATGCTTGTCAAGGTTATGGTCATCATGAGACAGGCGCACACTTGTACATGCACTAGTTCTACACACAGATATGGGGCCTATACTGCTGCTGATGCTATTGTATCAAGAGAAATGCTCAAACAAATTCTATTGGCCCCCAAATCAGTAATCACAGGGGAGTAATTATATGGTAGAGCTCAGTACCCATGAATATATCTGACACTAAGTCCTTGCACACTTCTGAAGCTTACTTAAAATTTGTAGACACTATTTTTTGGCTGTGAACCCCATACACTTGGCACCAAGATAATGGTCTTGTTTCAACAAAGGTATTCCAGAGTTTCTTTTTTGCTTTTATCTAAACTAGTCTAAGTCTAGCCACCCTGGTATATCCTTTGCTGAAGATGTGGTTGATCTTCATAGTGCAGTAGCTTCCTCTTGAGGGTGAGAAGGAAGGAATGGGGCAAATTCTCCCCCATAGATCCGTCCCTACCTCATCACTACCCTGCACTACTACACTCAGTTTCTCTCCAGGAACTCCCAATATACCCACTCCCACCTGCCCATATCTCATGTGCTGGGCAACATAAATTCTCTTTTCTTTTTTTCTTTTACTTATTTCTTTTTCATGTATGTCTTTTTCTTGGCTCATTTTGGATCTTCTGGGCCTATTTTATTTTCACAAATTGTAGTGGGTTTGTTCCAATTGATACTGTAGCTACTCAGAAAACCAGATGCTTTGATACTGGCTCTTGGCTGGAGAGAGAGCAGTGTAGGCAGTGTAGGGTGCAGCTACTTGGGGGTGTGTAGGGAACACTGCAGTTGGCTGCATGTGGGCAGGTAAAGGGTGTGCAGGTGGGGCAGCCAGCACTGTGCGCCCACTGCTGTGGTGGGCTGGTGGAGGCAATGCTCCTCTGTAAGAGACCAAGATATAAATCAATATTTCATAATTCTATGTCCTTGCATGCTCATCCTAATACTTGACATAATGTGCCTGTGATGATGGTGAATGGTGACTCGCAGGCACGTGAGTTCGTCCTATTGTGGGAGCGTAATTCAAACTACTACTACTGCCTGTGCTGCCCTGGCCAGCAACAACTACACTGCTGCTGCTTCCACCACCACCACTACTGCTGCTTCCCCATCCCTTCACACTCCCAACCACCACGCGCTGGTCACGGTTACTATGGGCTACTGGCGGCTGGGAGTAGTCCTTGTGGCCTGAATAAGAAATAAGAAAAGAAAAGAAAAAAAAAAGAAAAAAGAAAATTATTGTAAAAGCTTTGAGTGCATCCCTACTTGTGTGCCTATGTGCCTGTGTGTGTGTGCGCTCATGTTTCTGTGTGTACGTTAGGCTATATGTGTGTGTGAGTCTGTGTTTGAGTGCCTGTGTGTCTTTTTATATATCTGTGCTTGTGTGTGTATGTATGTAAGCGTAAGAGAGAGAGTGTGTGAGTGTGTGTGTGTGTGTGTGTGTGTGTGTGTGTGTGTGTGTGTGTGTGTGTGTGTGTGTGTGTGTGTGTGTGTGTGTGTTGTGTGGTGTGTGTGTGGTGTTGTGCGTGTGTGTGTGTGTGTGTCTGTGTGTGTGTGTGTGTGTGTGTGTGTGTGTGTGTGTGTGTGTGTGTGTGTGTGTGTGTGTGTGTGTGGTGTGTGTGTGCGTGTGTGTGTGTGTGTGCGTGTGTGTGGTGCGTGTTGTGCTGTGTGCACATGCGTGTGCGTGCGTGCGTGTCTGTGCGTGCGTGTCTGTGCATGTGTGTGCTTGTCTGTGTGCGCTTGTCTGTGTGCGTGTCTGTGTGTGCATGTGTGTGTAATGTTTATGTTATCCTAAATTCATAAAGTAATATAATATTTTAAGTTTTAAGTGTTGAAATTTAGATTTTTATCAAAACTTTTCAGTTCCAAGTAGGCCAAATGATCTAAATATATATATAAAATAAACAAAGGCTGTACAAAAACCTTAAAGTTCAACTTTAAATATAGGGTGAATAGCAAGTTCAACATCCTACCTTTCAGTTGACATTATCTAAAAAATGACAAATTCCGTAACACAAATACTTCACATGAAAATTTGGAGAAAACTCAAGCGATGAAATGCAGCATTCTTACCAGCCGGGTGCACAGTTGACTGTACTGAATAGTCTTTATGGGCCTGTGGGGGTTGTGTGTGTGCATGAGAGTGAGTGTGAGAGTGACTACGGGCATGGTCACGAGTGTGAGCTGCGGGTGGAGGGAGGTTGTCACGGTGGGCAGGCGGTGGCTGTAGAAGGGAGTCCCTGACATGCGCAGCAGGAGGAGCCAGGTGCTCTCTGTTGGGAGGCCAAAAGGGGCAAAATAAATTTGCAATGATCAACAAACTACTGCAGGACTGTAGTTCATAAAATGTAGCAACAGACTTTTTAATCATAAAAAGCAGGCTCCATTTCCTCATCAATTTTCTCATGGCAAATAGATCAATCTACAAAATAACAGTTCTCATGAATGACCTCTCACTGCTAGTGGACACAAGAATAGGGCTTATAAGGAAACTAGGGGAGGGTGGTGTGGAGACCAAGAATTAGCTGGATAAGCATGTGGGTTAGAAGGAAGGCTTTTATCTAGATGGATACAATAGTTCTCATTTTAAAAACTGTTTAAACACCAGCATATTGAAAGTAATAATCAATGAAATGGACATGGTGCAAGCTTCTGCAGTATCTCTCTAGAAATGAAACTAAAAAATCATTTTTTTTCTTACAACAAATTTTCTCTCTCTTCCTTTGAGACTGTCAAAAGAATTGAAGTCCACATAAATAAGTATATTGTGTGGCCTTTGCATACAACAGTGGCAAAATTTAACCTGTTGTACCTCTGAGGTCAGAACAATTAAAATATAGGTTCACTATGTACAATAGCCATTGGTGAGGTGAGCAATGCTGGTTAGTTATTGTAATTATTGATTGAAATGATTTATTTCCTAAATATATGATATATATGAAATATATTTCTTTCAACCCTGGAAGGCTGTGTATCTGCATACAAACACAAGGCAAATGACTCATGTAATATTTAGTACTCCTTGAAGAATCACAAACCATCAAAATCACCTTGATACCCTAGTGCAACAGGTTCAAAAATTCATGATACAGTGATTTAAAGCTGCATTTGTAGGAAACACTTAAATATCAGCAAAAATTGGAAAGCTAATAATCCATATGGATTTCCAAGTGGAAAATAATGACAATAAATCATAGATTAATTATTGTTTCTCAGATAAACGTCATTATAAAAATAATATTCAAAAACACCAAATCATGTTTCATTTGCAACATAACAATCTCAACATCAAAGTTACCAGTCAAAATGGTGCACCATGTCATCACAAAACTAAAATTCTAAAATGGGTGGTTTCTCTGCACTTTACACAGAAGTGACACTGGGAAAAGCTCATAATACAGCTATTAGCACTTGAATACTACTACAGAAGCATATATTTGCATTTCTGTTGTATGAGATGCAATATCCCAGGCCTGCACTCTTAGGGGAAGCTAAGACCACTTACCTAGTAGTATAAATATCATCCCTTGCTTGCTGTGTTGAATAGTCCCGTGCCTCAGGCTTTGCCACATGTAGCATGCATTCACTTTGGGCCTTGGCTAGCAGACGCTTCTTCTGGCTCTGAGATGCACCCACTGACGAGTAATTGTGGGACAGACTGCAAAGAGGTCAATAGTAAAAAGACTATGGCATGTATTTGTATAATATGTAGAAGGGCAATGTGGACAGGGTTTGGCTTAATGAAATCTGACATAGAGCACCAACAGTGGTACACAAGAAAGGTCATAGAATTTTCTATGACAAATTTAAGGACAGTCCTAAAAAGTCTCAGGGATGTACCCAGCAAGAACATGTGTATGTGTATGTGTATGTGTGTGTGTGTGTGTGTGTATGTGTGTGTGTGTGTGTGTGTGTGTGTGTGTGTGTGTGTGTGTGTGAGGATGTGTGTGTGTGAGGATGTGTGTGTGTGAGGATGTGTGTGTGTGAGGATGTGTGTGTGTGAGGATGTGTGTGTGTGAGGATGTGTGTGTGTGAGGATGTGTGTGTGTGAGGATGTGTGTGTGTGAGGATGTGTGTGTGTGAGGATGTGTGTGTGTGTGTGAGTGTGTGTGTGTGTGTGTGTGTGTGTGTGTGTGTGTGTGTGTGTGTGTGTGTGTGTGTGTGTGTGTGTGTGTGTGTGTGTGTGTGTGTGTGTGTGTGAGGATGTGTGTGTGTGAGGATGTGTGTGTGTGTGTGTGTGTGTGTGTGTGTGTGTGTGTGTGTGTGTGTGTGTGTGTGTGTGTGTGTGTGTGTGTGTGTGTGTGTGTGTGTGTGTGAGGATGTGTGTGTGTGTGTGTGTGTGTGTGTGTGTGTGTGTGTGTGTGTGTGTGTGTGTGTGTGTGTGTGTGTGTGTGTGTGTGTGAGGATGTGTGTGAGGATGTGTGTGAGGATGTGTGTGAGGGTGTGTGTGTGTGTGTGTGTGTGTGGGTGTGTGTGGGTGTGGGTATGGGTGTGTGGGTGTGGGTATGGGTGTGTGGGTGTGGGTATGGGTGTGTGGGTGTGGGTATGGGTGTGTGGGTATGGGTGTGTGGGTGTGGGTATGGGTGTGGGTATGGGTGTGTGGGTGTGGGTATGGGTGTGTGGGTGTGGGTATGGGTGTGTGGGTGTGGGTATGGGTGTGTGGGTGTGGGTATGGGTGTGTGGGTGTGGGTATGGGTGTGTGGGTGTGGGTATGGGTGTGTGGGTGTGGGTATGGGTGTGTGGGTGTGGGTGTGGGTGTGGGTGTGTGGGTGTGTGTGTGTGTGGGTGTGGGGGTGTGTGTGTGTGGGTGTGGGGGTGTGTGGGTGTGGGTGTGGGTGTGGGTGTGGGTGTGGGTGTGTGGGTGTGGGTTTGGGTGTGTGGGTGTGGGTTTGGGTGTGTGGGTGTGGGTGTGGGTGTGTGTGGGTGTAGGTGTGTGTGGGTGTGTGCGCGTGCGTGTCTGTGTGTGTGCATCTGTGTGATTATTTTAATTATATAATAATCACAGACTAACAAGAAAATATGTTTCACATGCTGATAATTATCTCTTGAGCAGCTGACTTCATGTAGTAAGAGATAAAAATTAAGAACCAAATTTACTAAAAATCTTTCATTTCATACCTGGCATATTTGTCGTCATGGGAGACCTGATGCTGCTGGTGAGAAGACACTGCAATCTTGCCATGGTTATTGTTGACACAAGTAGCACAATGTCTATCTTTGCAGCATTTACCTAGAATATAACCACAGATTACTTTTCCAGTCAAAAGGAGTGAATATATTTGCCAAACCTCTCTTACTACAAACACACACAAGTACTTAAAGTCTTCTAAAAGATTAGCTCCCTACTAATCACATTAACCTGACAAATCTATAGCCGTCATAACAGCCAGATACAGCTATAGGCTTTGCGACATGCTAGAGTGTATTAAGCGTAAAGTTGTCAGAAGTCTCCGGAGTCAGTTACACCAAGAGATTTCTTATACCATCATTAACCCCTTAATGAAGGGTGAAGAAGAAAAAGAAGAACAAGAACAAGAAGAAGAAGAACAAGAAGAAGAAGAACAAGAAGAAGAATAAGAAGAACAAGAAGAACAAGAACAAGAACAACAAGAAAACTATAGGTTCTGGAGATCAATGGCAACGCACCGACTTTGAGCGCGGGAGTTCGGTACATCAAGCCGAATC